AGAATCAGTACTGAAAGTATTGTCGAAGGGTTCATGTGCACTTTAAGACACAACACACTTCAACGACCACTGAAAAATTAACGATTACAGAGAGCTTTGTCTTGCTACGGTTTTCTTATTAATATTTGATATATGTAAGACTCAACACTAGTAAACGCGTTTTATGTTCTCAGAACGGGTGCCCTGCTAGGAATACAAAGACATGGCATATACGGTTATTTTCCATTCATATGGTTTTTGTGCGACGACCAACAATCAAATACCAGTTGAGTTCTCAATGAAGTCATCGTTCTCATATTTGTGATTTAAGTCATCATTACAGCCTGGCATCACTAACGGATAGCTAGGTAAACCGAGTCTAGTTGCAGACATCTAAAGAACATCATAAAGTTCATCATTGGTAAGCATATTCTAGTTTTCAGACTCACTTTTTTGGAATCAAAGTAATTCTGTTTTGTTTAATCTTTCAAACTTTATTTAAGTTTTAATTTTTTTTTATTTTATAATCTCCAAATATTTATTTATACATTAATTTTATCAATTCAAACTAAGAATATCCGGTTGCTCCTTACGAGGTATTTCTAGTCATTATATGCTATACGTAGCTATTCCTAGGAAGCAGTAGTTTATTTTCATTGATAAAGTGCTATATAACAAGTTGTGCCTCACACAATATACTGACCTCACAATTTTCATGTTTTTGTAATTGCTTGGGTTGCGTGTCTTAAATCCCTCCTTTTTCTATACTATAAAATGTCTTCACTGAAAGTTTTCAAATAACTTAGAGCATTGATAATTTTCGAATTCTTTATGAAATGGTTTTGTTTCTTTAACGATTTTTTTTAAATTGCCAAGCTTTCGCATTATTGCACCATCTTTAAAGGGGAAAGTACTGGGGGTGAGGGCAATATTTTGAATTAGCCAAAAGACTATATGCGCGCAAAATCTAATAAAAAACATGGATGAAAAAATTCGTCACATGATTAACTCGACGTACAAATGCACTCATTTTTTAAAATTTCAGATACAAAGATAAAAAATGAAGTTTCAAATCGCATCCATAGTCCTTCTTGCTGTCATTTTTCAGTTTGGTAGGTTGCTTATTTAGCTAACTAGTAAAGCCGCTTACGTCACTGATCTACTACTTACTACTAAGGGGACGTTACTAAACCAGTAAAGGGAATGGGGAATGGGGAATGGGGAATGGGGAATGGGGAATGGGGAATGGGGAATGGAAGATGTAATAGCTCTGGAAAAGAATATCATGTCATCATTATCATTATTAACATTATTATTATTATCATTATTATTATTATTATTATTATTATTATCGTCATTCTGATTTTATTATCATCACCTTCAAAATGATTTTCCTTTTCAATCACCAATGCCGTCCTATCGATTATTCTGACTATACCCAGTCTTGATAACGATTCGTATGCTTGTTTTAATCAAGGTCACCGCGTGTCAGGCAAGTGCCAGGGGCCACAAGCAGGCTTGTTTGATACTGATTGGGCCACGTGTCTTCCTGCAGTGGATAAAGCCGGCACAACTTGTCCTCATAATTTCTTAAAAATTGGAGACAATTCATACGGATGCGGGGAATCACACACATTTATCAGAGATTCAAATCATAGACGTGTTGTTGATAAGCCGTTCATTTGTTGCCTTCTGACACCAGTTATTGATATGAAGGTAAGCAATGCTCTACTTTTCAATTCTCAGTTGTGCAGGGTTAACCTTGTTTGTAAACAGAATGAGCGTTTTTAATTGACGTCACAGCGGCCATGTTGGCCGCGTCTTTAAGCCATGAAATTTGCCTGTATTCACATACTACCTCGCTTGTTCTGACCCGTACTTGGAGCTCACTGTACACCGGTTCAACGGATTTCCTTCGGCAACCGACCCGAGGTCGCGCCGGAAGTCTTCGAATCGTAAATGTGGATTTGGATATAGTCTTTCTTCGAAATTATAAGTTAAATACTTTTGTATCTTAGGCCGTTAAAAAATACACTCACCATAATTTCGAAGAAAAACTATATCCGAATCCGCATTTACGATACGAAGACTTCCGGCGTGACCTCGGCGTGATTATACTTCAGAACATTTGCCTCATATCACACTGTGTAACTAACTTTATTTCGCTTTGCTCTTACAATTATAGCGAGTTAAAAGGATATCTGCATAAATTTACATAACTAAGAGACTATCAATCCCATAATTCCACTCGGGTGTCCTGCTCTCGTCGCCATTTTATTTAGCAATCAAGAGAAACTTGAGCGATAAAACTAACAATAAACTAACAATAACGTCTCTGTGTTAAAGTGCCTATCACCCTTCTGACAATATTCACAGTATTGATTCTACATGGGGTAACAGTGTCGAATAACCTGAAAAATTTCATAGTTTGAGTGCGGCTTCTTGAAGTTATAAAGGTTTTTCCATGCCATATGCTAACGTTTTGACGTATGAAGAGTAATCATTTAATATACAAAACCTTACTGTTTTGCCCATTGCTCTTATAGAAACTATGGCAAGTTAGTTTTCACATAGAAGCCGGTGTTTCGAATTACAGGGAACAACAAATAACCATAAATGCCTCCTCATACGTCACAGCATATGACATGGAAAAACCTTCATAATTTCAAGAAGCTGCACTCAAACTATGAAATTTTTTCAGGTTATTCGACATCTTACCCCATGTAGAATCAATACTGTAAATATTGTCAGAAGGGTGATAGGCACTTTAACAACACGATGTAGGTACACTGTACCTGAAGTGAATATCAAAGATCAGCCTCATTTTAATGTCAGAATACACTCAATTGAAGAATCGTTGTCGGGTTCAGAAACATAGAACATAAAAGCTGAGACCGAAATGGCACATGGGAAATACGTTAATAAGATGCATGCTGTGACCGGCAACCCGTGGCATCATCTACTGTTTTTAATACGCGTTTGGCATTCTAAACCGACTGCATGGATGGCAAAAATGAATAAACGTTTTTATGTTCTATGTTTCTGAACCCGACAACGATTCTTCAACTGAGTGTATACACAAATAGTGTTGTTTGTGCACGTATGTTCTTCATGTTTGCATTTTGCTTTGTTCAGGTTAAAGATGCGCCATGCCTCTCCAACAGCGGAGGATCAAACAGTCAAAAAGATCTTCAAGACAAAATAGAGTCTAAATCTCATTAATATTAGATATGTAGTGGTTTATAATTGTTATTAAACGTCAAAATAGCACTGTGCAAAATTTATGCTTATCAATTTCTTTATCCTATTTATTTAAGGTAAAAATTAACTTGAGGCCGTTCTAGCTCGGGTTTAATTTTCGCTGTTTGAGTTGTGTTCATATTCGTGTGTTTTATTTTCTCATGCGCAACTAACAAAAAGATGATGATACTCTAGAGAATGATAACTGCCAACTAATTGCCAACTGTCTCGTTTAGCCTATCGCTTTTACAGCTGGCTTGAACCAATTTTCTGTATTCTTGTAAATTTAGTACAAGTAATTTTGCAATTTTGGTACTAAATAAAGATTGATTGATTGATACGTGGTCCGAAATGGGGAAACATTACACCAAAGCTGAAAAGGTTTATTGACCAATAACTATGAGAGGCTTTGGTGGAGTGCGCGCATGCGTCGCTAATGTGCCGCCTCTCACCAATGCGGCCCATGTTTTGTTATCCCCTAATCCCGGGCGCCGTGTCGTATGTGAATACAGTTGTTTATCGCGTTTTTCTCCTGTGCTTCCAGGGTTTTTCTCTAGGTTCTTCGGTTTTCCTCCCAAGTTCTGACCAAGTTCTTCCAGCCAAGTTCTGACGTCGTGACTGTAATAAAACAGCTTAGCATTCACCATATAATGCGATTCTAGATTATTGCTTATAGATTATTGCTACGAAAAAGTTTAGAAACAATCGGCAATTCTGGTTGATCGAAGATATATCTCTAATGAGGCTCTGGTACTCTGTTCGTTGAGGCGTCGAGGTTGTCAATCGATGGTTTTCACAGCCACCATGTTGGATGAATTTAACAAAAGATTGCATCATTACTCTCCTTTGTAATATCATCCAATATGGCCGCCGTGTCTTTTGTTATTTTATTCTCTTGGGAATGATTGAAAACCAGCAATACCTTTAAATGGATTTGTAAAAGCCGTGACCGGAAATGAGCTGAGGTGTCAACTCGTCAATGTATGTTTTGTATGTATTTCAGTATGTGTGATTAAGATATTTTCTTCGCTGAGACGTCTTTAAAGATTTAGTTAACTTCGTCATGATTGTGATTATGAGGCTAAAAATTCCTTTTAAAAACATCTTTGCCGCACTTACTAAAACGACTGATCAATTGTTGAAGACCGGTTTCATTTACTTATAAACATCTTCAGTGTGTGTCTCGTGGTCATTCAAATTAACATCAACTGTGCTCTCCACATTAAGGAATTACGTTGTGAATCCTTCATTTCTTTTCTCCAAAAAAAGTAATTAAAAACGCGAAGACTTTTAAAATGATTGAGCGGTTAGTAAACTGATCATTGTACAATTAAGCATCTGGTCAAGCCAACTGTGCCGGGGCGGCAAGTAGATAGAAAACAATAATCCTAGCGCGCATGCGCACTCCATCCCCATCATCGTCAAATTGATCAAGGGATATAAATATCATTCAAACGACGATCCATTTACAGTCCCTGTATATTATCAAGTGGTACGTACCAAAAAACCTAAACGTTATGGAACTTATGACCTCTTTCCAAGATCTAGAGGTAGGTACAAAAATCTTTCTAGGAATAAAGAGAAAATGATTGTCTCAAAATCATTAGCTTATTCTCTTATGCTCTTATGCTCTTATGCTCTTATGCTCTTTTACTCCGACGAAGGACTAGCGTCCGAAACGTCAGTTTTTTCATCTTTTCACGGTGTATATTTTACCTTTTTTAAGTTACTGTTTCATTATAGAAACACCGACGCAGCTTACACTAGTTTTTAGCTAGTTTTTTCTTCTCGTTGACTTATTCTTTTAGTAATTCGAGAGAGGATTTTATCGGTTTTTGCAACAATAACAGAAAGAAAACCATAACATTGTCGTTCAACCCTAAAAGATAACAATGTCATTCAACTATCTTTCAAAACATTTAAAATACAATTTTATAATTTCATGAAAAAGCGAAGGAATATATGAAATTTTACTCATTTAATGTTAATTTCTTGACGTCATCATCATTAACATATTGGAAGTATAAACCTTCATAACTTAAAGACGCATCACTCAAATCAAGAAATATTTTACCAATCAACTATTTACTTTATGCANTATATATATACATTTTATATTTATTCGTATTCGTATTCTTATAGATCTCAATTTTAGCGATATATTGCTATTATTATTATATATTTAACATCGTATGTTAAATGTGCAGTACTAAAACGTATAGATGCAAAAAAAACCCCTATGACCTGTATAGGGCGCACAGCGTAACCTATACAGTCGAAAAGGAAACTAACTACAATAAATTTAAATAGATGTCATATATATACAATCAGCTACAATAAATTTCTAGCAACAAAAAAACCTCTCCATATTCTATGAATCTGTAACAGTATCCTAAGATTATAAATAAAGTTCAAGCTTATATATTATTATCATCATCATCATCATCATCATCATCATTATTATTATTATTATTATCCTCATTAATTGGTTAGTATTATGAATTCGCAAAGCCTTACGACGACAATGTAAAGATCTAGATATTGTTCTACAATAATCTAGAATAGGGTATCAACTTATATATGTTCTATCTTTTGGACCATTTTTTAAAATTATTTTGAAATTCCCTAAGGAAAAGTAAATTAAAGATATATGCTTCGTGGCTGTAAGTCATCTTTATTTCATAAATGGACTTAAAATCTTTTAAATAACTTTGGGAGTGATTTGTGTTTTATACGCACAATATGATATTGATAATTATATATTGAGAAAACATTGCGTAGGTGTGTCGATGAATTAGTATATGTATACAGTCAATTAAAAAAATGTTGTCGTAGAACAACTCAAGCCTACGCGACTGGACCGAAAGGAGCTCGGGGTAGTAATCATTGAAGCCGAGTTTACAGCACGAACCTTCGTAGACGAGCGGGAAGTGTTGAAGGAGACGTTTTTTTTAATGCCTTCATATCTTCGAAATTGTGAACTGAATCATAACTACTTTGTTTTTCTTTTCCTAAACCCAAAGACATGCATTTGATGGGTCGTTTCTCGCCATTATTATCTTGTTACTAGAGGGACAATTAATTCAGAACGAATATTTAACCGCTTMAGTGATTTTTACCCATATTCCTTTCGGTCCAAGTCGCGTAGGCTTGAGCCGGTCGACGACAACGTTTTTTGAATTGACTGTATTAGGGATCATTTCCATCATGTTCAGAGCTTATTAATTTTCAAAATAATGATTATTAATGATAGATTATTAAACATTTAGGAGAGAATGAATGACTAAATGAATGAATGGATGAATTATTGACCAATAAACTTAGCATATATATGCACGTAGACTAAAGACTAAGGGTCCAAACTTCTGTACACTCTTCTCGAATCAAAACCTCACAGAGTTACGGCCCAAATTTCTGTCTGTCGCAGTCAAATCGATCCATTTATTTCTTGCTTATCCGCATGTAGCTATATGGCATAATTATATTATAATTTATTCATTTGCGCCATCCATGCAGGGTCGGTGTCCACTGGTAGAACGAAGCTTGGGATTGGGCAAAATAACAAAAACAAAGAAAGCATGGATTATGGTGAACAATGTGTATTGTTGTACATGTGAGCTGCGTTCTTTGTTTTATCTCACCATTCATTGTTTGTTCATCCACTTCCAGGCTTCGTTCTGCTTGTTGTATGTTACCCCCTTCATGTAGTCGGTTTAGAATGCCAAACGCGTATTAAGAACAGTGGATAATGCCACGGGTCGCAGGTCACAGCATGCATCTAATTAACGTACTTCCCATGTGCCTTTTTGGCCTCAGCTTCTATGTTCTATGTTTTTGAGCCCGACAACGATGCTTCAATTAAGTGTACACCTATTTCAAAAAACATTGTCGCTCGGAGATCTGAAATCTGAGACCGAAAGGAATTGTGGGTTGTAAGCTGTAAATTGTTTGTGGATTTAATTAGTAGTTCGCAAAAAGTTAATATCTTGATATACTAACTTAGAGCGATGACCTGTGCTGGCAAACTATCTGAGTAAGTGGAAGATATAACTAGCTAAAAACTAGTATGAGCTGCGTCGGTGTTTCTAATGAAACAGTAATGATGAAAAGGTAAATTATACACCGTGAAAAGTTGAAAAAACTTACTGACGAGCTGGGTGGAAATCCACCCAACCCACCCACCCCTGTATCCGCCCCTGAATACCTCCCATCAGATTCGAATATGAAGAAAATATGACCTTTAGCCAGTGTTTATAATGGACCCTTGACGTAATGATGTCATAGTAGTTATTTTGAAATTTACTTCAGCTAGACTGTCAATATAAGGATAATGTATGTTAACTCGCTTGTTTTTAATACGATATGGAAAACGAATGAAGATTTCATGCTCACATTATTACGTGCTAATAGCGCATAGAATCATCATTCGTTTGCCATATCGTATTGAAAACAAGCGAGTCAATATACATTCTTCTAATAGTCAGTTTTGCTGAATATACATTATATTATATTGATTATATTTCGATATAA